CACACACACACACACACACACACACACACACACACACACACACACACTGATGGTTCCTGGCCACTGTGGGACAGCCCTCTGCCCCTGACCTGGGCATTCATGACCACCTTTCTTCACCAGACTCACTTTCTAACCAGGGATTCACAGACACCACTCTTTGCACGTAGCTACAACATGTAGGTAGGATCAGTCTTTATACCAGGGCTTCTTGATATGGAAGAATACCATTAAAGTAACAAGGATAAAAAGTCATACATAAAAAGAAAGAGCGAATAACTAACTGACAGTTCCAATCAGTGGAGAAAAGCATAAGAGCTGTTTTCCCTCTTGGTCATAAACGCATCACAAGCACTCCCAGCCAGCCTTCCACATGACCAGCCCCAGAGACACCCTGACTTTTAATAGGCAGAAGTACCACAGAGAAGGGAAACCAACCCATTATACCTTTCCCAGTTTTCTTCTAACTACAGCTAATGTGTGCTTATCCTGTCCACAGACCCACCTACTCACCTAAGAGTTTCCCCTCCATCAACCTGGTCCAATTAAAGCCAGTGCCAGAATAGCAAGGACATGAAGGGGGAGGAACAGGGATTGGTCCAGAAGGAGGATATGCCTTGTGGTCTCATCCTAACGTGTTCTGGGACCTCAGCAGTAAGACAGTAGGAAGAGGGGAGTAAGCTGGGATGTAACGAGGCTATGGCTCAGCTTAGCCCCCAAAGGGGAGCCAGCAGATGAGCTTCCAGTATCCAGGGGCAGGATAAACTCCAGTCCCCCTGGATATCAGAGCAGTCCAGTCTTGCAGGTGGGGAGGGAGAGGGTGCAGGAGTGTTATTTACGGTCAGGCATGAGGTGCCACCTCCAGCAGGTTGAAGAGACTTCATCCACTGGGCGGGGAAAAGAGAGAGTCCACCAGGTGAGAGTCAGGGCCAAGCAGGGTGTCAGGGCCCCAGCCAAGCTCCCTAAGGTTTATTACAAGGCCCCCCGTCCCAACAAAGAAACAAGATGGCAGAGGGAAGGCTGCTGCTCAGCAGGGGGCGAGGGCCAAGTCCTCCGGGCAAGTGGAGGATTGAGCGTGGGGAACGCAGGTTGAAGGTGTCAGTCACTGCAGCTGGGCTGGACTGAGACAGGCAGGAACACGTACAGAAAGGAGGTAAATTACAAAAGCACACACCAAAAAAAAAAAAAAAAAAATAGAGGGAAAGCAGCCTCTGTGATGGAAAGCAAGATCTTGGAGAAAGATGGATCATGGAGCTCAGGGCTCCATGTGGAGCCCATAAAATGAAAGTGAAGACAGAAGCCAGTGGCTTGGGATTCATCTAAAATGTGAAAATGCAGACACCTTTGGAGCACAGAGAAGACCCAGCATGTCACTGTGACTTTAATGGTGATAATGAGCCTGCAGTTTTCCAGTCCTGGGATTCACTCACCCACACAGAGAGATAATATATTTTTCCTCTATGACAAGAAAATTGAATCTATCTTTCAGTCTAACTGATCTGAGGTATAAGTGAAAAATAAGACTGTGTTCTATCACCTTCAATCTTTCTCTTCGCTCCGAGATAGGCTCTATTATTTTCCTTTATTTTTTCAAGCATGAGAAGTGTTAATGGATAAGACATCGGTCATTCACCCTTGAGATTTGGGAGAACCTGGATTTTGTGTCTCAGCCACAGCATGAAACTTGAATTGCCTCGGTTCGGGGGTGGGGCGCACAGTACGGTAGAAGGGGCGGTGGTGGGAGGTGAGAAGAGAGAATAAACAACGCCCCCAGATTCTGGGTCTACAGCTGATATTTGGAAAGGCTCTGCATGAACTCACATTTGGCGCTTTACCACTTCATGCATATGCACTTCCTTAACCTGCACCAAAGAAATAGAGCCTATCTACTAATGACGGCTCAAATAAGATAACCACTGGTCCATGAAGGGATAGAACGAACGTGCCAGCCTCCCCCGTCCGATAGCCACACAAGCACTTGTGGAAAACTTCAGTTCACCAAACTGCAGGACAGTGCATGGTCAGAACTTCAGACCCTCCAGAGTCCCGCCAGGTCCTCAGCATGGGATGATCGGGTCAGACCTGAGTGCTTCATAAACACAAAAGGAGGAGGATTTGGTCAACTCCCACCTTCAATGCTCCCTGGACCCCACAGGGACTTGGCGTTTCATACCATTGCCAGGAGAGAGCCACTGCTCTGCCAGGTCCTTTGTTAGTGGTGTTCTGGTCCATACGGTGCCCTGAATCCCTCTACCTGGGGTCCAGATAAGGTCAGGCCCCTCACACCCTGCCCTAGCCCATGCAAAGAGCTCGAGAGAGGAGTAAACTACTTGGGGCCACTCCCCAACCCCAGGTCTGAATTTCTAGGGGGCTCAGAAAGAAGGAAAGCACAGGCATCTTCAAGAGCAACGCTAAATGCATAGCCAGGGCAGGTCCCTGGAAGCGCCAGCCTTCTGCAAGAGAGGCAGGCTCACCCACCAGGGTCCCTAGGTGGCTGCTATATCTGAGTGAATGCAACATGCCAGACCTCTCTCTTTTCCAGGCCAGCTGAACAAGGACGTGACCTACGCGCATTTCTACTCCTTCCTGAGCTGTCTCCAGGTGAGCTCACACTGACTTGTTCCAAAGCTATGTTCCCACAACCAGCACTGTTCTTCTGTAATCAGTGTTTTCCTGCTCTCAGGTCAGCCCCTGCCACGGCTGGATGTCTTCCAATAAGACGCTCCGGACTCTCACTTCAGAGGTAGGGCTGTCGCAGGCCCTTTGATACTGTCTTTGATCATTTTCTCCCTGTGTTTGCTGCAGGGTTTTCACTGGGGATGGGATTTTGGCAGGGTGATGGCCTCCAAACTGGTGAATAAAAGAAACAAACTCCCGGATGCTTGAGGAGTCAGGATAATGCGGGGTGCCTTGTCTCCCTCCTTCTGCCTTGCTGAGTCTGTAGTTCTTGCTGGGTTTCTCGATCACTGTCTCTATGTGTGCCTGTCTCTCTTGTGCACACACATGCGTGTACATGCACAAACACACACATGCCTTTGAAAGCTGGTCCTAGGCATATTTGTAGAGTCAGAGAAGTGATGAAAGTTAGGTGTACGCAGGGCTGGAATTCTCCCAAGGTAGGGGAGGACCAGCTGCCCCAGAGCCTTCCTTTCTTCTCTGAGAAAGTTTCCCACATTTCTTTCACAGATGGTAAATAATTTCTTTGTAAGGAATTTAGTAAACATTTTTTACAAGGGAAACATATTTCAATTTTTTAAAAACCTTAGAAAATGTAAAAAATACAAAAAAAAAAAACAAAAATCACTCAAAATCCCACCACCAAAAATTAATATGCATGTATGTCTTTCCAATATTATTTTCATAGAGTTATTTTGGGGTTTTTGCCTACATAGTATCAGAACACACATATTGTTTTGTGCTTTCTGATGTTCATAATCATTCCTCCACATCATAATTTTTTTTTTTTTTTTTTTTTTGGG